TTGATCCATTTTGCCTTCTTAGCCTTTGCTTTCTTACGTAGCTCTGAAAACATCTAAAAATTAATTAAGACTAGCAAACTGTTAATATTTTTCTTATAGATATTGTGCTTATTTTGACATAACCATTTAGCTCAAAAACTCTTCAAAACCTGACGAAGCGTCGACGCTTCATATATTCTCGGTCTTTCCTTGGCTTCCTAGGCCCTTTAAGCTTTAAAAAACTAGCCAAAAACGATGCAATTGGTTAAAAACAGCAGCTGGTTTTATTTTTCTTCTTAACTACCTTTAAAAAATCTAAATGGTTGCTAAAGAAAGTTTTTAAAAGGTAAAGTCTGTTCCGGTTTGCCTCTTTGTCATTGTTTCTCCATTGTCTTTCTTCTTTAACAACCTCGTTCTCTTTGAGGATGAGCCCTCATCCTCCACGAAAACGCCTAAAGCTCGACGCGGTCTTTGCCGAGCCGGAACTTCCCTGTAAATATAAGGAATTGGTGTGAGTGACAAAATATGAATAAGAGGACCATGTGGACAAAAATATAGCTTAAGAATTAAAATCAAGGCAGAAAGTGGTGGATAACAAACCGGAATCACTTACGGAACCTATATTAATCCATTATTTTTCAGAGACTACATCCGCAAGTTCATCTCCGACCAGATCGTCTTCCCGGAGGAGGGCGTCTCCCGCCCATTCGACCACAACGATCTGGATGAGGTGGAGAATTTGTTAAAGTAAAGGTAAAGCTCGAACTTAGCATTTCGTGCTTGCTTCAGGGCTATTTTAGCTTCGAGGCTTCTTTTTTTGAATATTTTTGGCACGATTTAACATTTTTATTAACATACTCGTTTTTAGAAATAAACCAAGCCTTGAATCGGCTATATTGTTTTGTAAATAAATTTTATTAAAGGTTTTCAGATATCTTTCCTCGGACGGGGGACTTTTGGTTACGTCAGCAAGATGAGCTACAGGAGAACGGGCCGGATTATGGCTGTTAAGGTATGTTTTTCGAGAGCTACTTGTATTTCTCTCTTGTCCCTTTCTCTATTTTTCTCTCCCTCTCTCTCTCTCTCTCTCTCTCTCTCTTTCTCTTTCCTCTTGCTCTTTTAGTGAATCCATCACCCTTTGAGCGCTTCTCTCGTGTAACACCAAATTTCAGAAAGTCCGCCTCATCACCAACCAGGCCAACGAGCCGGAGATGAACAAGTCCCTGCAGCGCCTTCGAATCGAAGTGGAAGCCATCAAAAAAGCGAGCAAATGCGATCAGATTGTGCAGTTCTACGGTGTGACTTTTCATGAGGTAAGTAAGCTCTGATAACTCCATCTGACGCTGCCATAGATGCTTACCTTAAGTTGATGCAAAAGACTCCCTTAGAACCAAGTTCATCATCGGTTTTTAAGGGCGACTGCTGGGTGTGTATGGAAATTATGGACTGCAACCTCGACGCCGTCTACCGGGCCCAACATGAACGTTTGAAGGTCGAGAAGTTTGATGAAGACGTTGTTGGCTCGGTTGCTGTTTCGGTAAGTGTTTTCTCTCTTTCTCTTCTCTCCCTCTCCCTCTCTCTCTCTCGTGCTAAACCAATTTTTTCAGACCATCAAAGCCCTGGACCACCTGAAAAACGAGGTCAACATCATCCATAGAGGTAAGGAGGCAGTTAGAGAGAGGAAGAGAGAGAGAGAGAGAGAGAGAGAGAGAGAGAGAGAGAGAAAGAAAGAGAGGGACATAGTGTTTCAAGAGCGGTTTTACAGATGTAAAACCCTCAAACATCCTCCTCGACAAACGGGGTCTTATCAAGCTGTGCGATTTCGGGATTTCCGGATATTTGGTGGATTCTATCGCGCAGACGATGGATGCTGGATGCAGACCGTATATGGCCGTAAGTTTCGGAATTTTAAAAAAATTTAATAACAGTGCTATTCATCCAAAATCTAAAAAATCTTTTTAGCCAGAACGCATCAGCTTCCTGCGCAAGGGGTACGACATCCGGTCTGATGTCTGGAGTCTGGGCATCACTTTGGTAAGTTTTAGTAAAAAGCGTGAGGGAGAGAGAGAGAGCGAAAGCGAGAGTGAGAGAGAGAGCGACAAAGAGAGAAGTCCTCAAATTCCGATTTTCAGGTCGAAATCGCCACCGGCAAATTCCCATTCCCGAACTTCCAATCCGTTCCCCTCTTCCAGCAGCTTGCCATGGTCGTGAATGGCGACCCGCCGCTGCTGACCAGCTCGATGTACTCCGCCCAGACGATCAATTTTGTCAATGGATGGTTAGTGCTTGAAAGCGACTATTTTAAAGGTGTCCGGACAGCTAGAATTTTGAACCCTAAAAACAGTGGTAAACTATCTCAATTATCCCAGTTTTTCAGCCTGATCAAAGACGTCGAGCACCGTCCAAACTTCTCGCAGTTGATGGACACCGAGTACTACAAGTACTACTCGGATCTCCCGAGATTCAAGCACCGCGTCGTCGACTACGTCAAGATGACGCTGATCGCCGAGGAGCAGGCGGCGCGTCAGGAATAGTATGGCGTACTTGGCCGTCTCTCCTTACTGTACGTAGTAATGTAGTTCAATCGGAATTTCCCACCTTGTAGTTCTTCTGTATCCTATCCTAGAATTTTGTGCTTTAAAAATTACGACAAAAATAGCTCAAAATTTAAGCAAATTGAATTTATTTGAGTTTTTAGCTTAAATAAATTTTTTAAAACAAGAAACAAGTCTAAAAATTAAAAATTTACAGAATCATTTTGCGCCATTTGATGAAAAGAACTGGTAACAAAAATCAATTACCCTCAAATTTCTAGAAAAAAAAGAGCTTCCACCACCCGCCAGTTTGTTCCGAATTGAGAATTTTGTGTTTGTATTTGTATTTCCCTTCATAGCGCCTTTTTAAGGATTAAAATTTGTTTTTTTACGATTAATTCATGTCTTTCTGTATTTGCAAAACAATTTTTGTAAAAGCTAGTTTCTCTGCGTTTGCTCGCTCCATTTCTGCATACAAAACGATTGATTTCTCGCGTACGGTTGTGCCAAAGATCTGCTGGCCATTTCTTTCTGTATTTTTCCATTTCATTTTGTATCTTCAAATTTTTTCCCGAGTCATTACATCAATGTTCGTGTTGTTTCTACTTTTAAGTTCATCAATTTAAAGCACAAAAATACTCAAAAACCTTCTCGCTCACCAAACCACCGATACTCCTAAAACAAAAATTCTCGAATTTCTTTCTGTTTTGCTCATTACATTACAGTAGCCCTTGTTTTCCATACCTGAAACCGAATTTATTGAGATTCAGACTTGCTCCCCCAATACCCTCAAACCCGACCAAAATTTGTGATAGCAATTTCCTTCATGATTTCTACATATATTTGCTCTTAATAAATTACGCAAGAGCAAGCAAGTTGATCATTCAAAAAAAACACAAAAAAATCATACTTTAAATTTCAAATTTAAGCGATTCAGGTGAATTTCATCCTATATCCGTATTCCGTTTCCGTCGGCTCCCGCTCGACAAAAGGTGGCGGCGGCTCGTGGAATGTGGACTGTAGGACTGAAAGCTCTTCTATAATTCTCTTCATGTTTTTCTCTTTCCTTGAGGGTGTAAGTAAGGCTTCTCTGCTAGTCTTGTTTTCCAGAAAATTCAAGCTCATAGAAAACCGTCAAAATCTAACAGATTGGGCCAACGTGTATCGACAGCTACGCGATGCGCCAAAAAACGCCCGCTAGCGCAGTCAGAGTAATAACAAGGCACAGTCCAAAAACGAGAGCGAACTAACAGTTCCTGCTCCTTTAAATGAGCTTTTCCCAAATAATATTTGCTAGTCTACCACGCTTTAGAAACAACTTCTATCGCGAGCCAGACAAATCTTAGTGCTACTGCTTACCTGGATACACCTTCTCTCCCGGAGCCAACTTCTTCAGGGTCGTATCGAATCTTCTGGGAGCCGGCACGGGCACGGTTTTATAGTAGAAAAACGTCGCAGTCGCGGCAACGAGGGCGAAAAATACTGAAAAGATCTATGCTTTTCATCTTCACATTAAAGGATCATTTTTCAAATCATAAAAACCATAAAAATCGTTACAAAAATCTATCAAACGCCACAAACGACAGGCTACAAAATACCAGATACAAACCGAGTTGATCCAGCCACACCAGGAAAGTCTTCAACCATTCCTTTAACGCAACACCCGTGGACTGGCCTGTAGTGGAGGCAGCGAAAAAATAGATGACAACCGCAAAAAGTAATGAAGCTGCAGAATACTGTAGAAATTGACGATTTCGGCGCTTTTCTAGGAATTTCATGTTGAGTGCGCTATTTTCCAGCGCGCCGGCAGAAAATCGAAACACTCCCGCATTCACGAACAGCTTCCAAAAACGGGACGGCTGTCGCTGATAAGGTTGGGAGGTTTTGGAAAAGGAGGAGAAAAGAACGCAAAGTAGTAAAACTGATGCTGTAAAAACATCGTGTTGCGAAAGCTTTTGATTCCAGTTTTTAGCGTATCAATCATCCAAAAAATTGAAAATTTGATTTTAAACGCTGTCGAAGAAAAAAAAATTGCGAATACAGCTGACCCGATCTCCTTAAAAGAAAATTTTCCGATGCTATGCAAATTTGGGTTTTTCGAGAGCTTTCGATTGGTATAAAAATCATTCCGATACGCTACTCCTCCCGCGACTATTGAGCGAAAAGGAGCTGAGGAGCTGACTGAGCAGTACGTACCAATACTCGTGACGTGCGCCCCGTCGGTAGTAGTGTCGTGTACTAATGTGTAACAAGTATTTTTTAAAAATTTCTCTCAGTTAGAAAAAGGCTCTGGAGCTGGCACGGTCCCTTTAAAATCTCCCTCTCAAGCTCTACCCGTAGCCGCGTCGATAGGAATCTGGCGTAGTCCTCAGGCATTCTAATGTGCATAGATTAGGATCTGAAAAATTTCGCTTCGCACGCGCCCCCGTGGTGCCTGGAATTGATTTCCCAGGCTTTACCCGGTCTCTACATTCTGTAAATAGGATAATGAAAATAATGCGCTACGATTTTCACTCGAAACTCCACACCTTTATTCGCTACAGTAGCCTGGTGCCTTTGGCCATAATTTTGCTACCCTACACGAATATGGTGCAGGATTTGTGGGAGATTAGGAGGTGAGTAAATTTAATAACTTAAAAAATCATCTTAGCTAATTTTAAATATAAATAAAAAATGGAAATCAGAAGTTACAGTAACCTTAAAACAGAATATTTTAAGTCTAATTTATTTCTAAAAAAATTTTGAAATGCCCACCATGTCAGGAAAAATTGTTTTTCGATTAAAATAAATTAAAATTGCCAGAATAAAGTCACATTATCTAAAAACAAAAATTTTATGGTCTAGAAATGCCTATAAAAGTTGCGCCACCACAAATCACCCCCAAAAATTGGTGGCGAGAGGATGCCTGGAGTTGGACCATCAACAGGTAGTTTTCTAAGTATTTTGAATTTGCACTTAAAGTACCGTACGACATTTTTATGTACATTTTATTATGAATATTGAACCCTTTTTTAAGATCGCAATAGCCATGGAATGGTATGATCGCCTCTGTCCTACGGGCGAAAAGGTTTGCGACATCGTCAGCCCGTTCATCGATTTCCCGGCCGAGTTTTTGGTATTTATTAAACTTTTATTTCGTCATAAAAAGAAGTATAATTTATTACTTGTCATTTTTGTCAGCTATCATGATTTTAAACGTTAAACAAGCGCAAAAGAGTTGAAGATAAAATGCTCAAATTTCAGCAGTCCCCAGGCCACTCGATAAATTATTGCGATGTCCCAAATCGCAAGCTAGAGCTGGTAAAAGGTATTTTTACGTAATTTTTTTAATTTAAATAAAATGCGAATTTTTATCGTTGTTTCAGCTATGGAAAAATTTCAGTGAAAAATTATTTTTTACACAATTTATTGGTTTCAGATTTTATCTGCCACCTCGACGACGAGTCGTACTTTAAAAACAATTATACAGCTTTGGCGGGTGTTAATATAAAAAGGTACAGATTAATATGACTTTTTCAATCTGCAAATTATTTTTACCACATATTTTTAAATTTGAAAAGGTAGCAACTTTTAGTGAATGTCACAACGCCACAGAAATGCCTGAAAATTCGGAATATTGGAGCAGCCTGGCGCTGATCGAGGACCCATTGGAGAGATTTATCTACGAGTTTTATCAGGAGTGCGAGTAAGTAATTTTGGATGATTCTTACTGTACTCATAGTAAAGTATGAGATGTATTCAGTACGTACGTAAAATATTAGAAAAATGGATTTTGCAGTTAAAATTTTACATTTTTAGGCTGAACACAGTCAATGGTCGGTGCTACGAATGCGACGGGAATTTGGGGTGTTTTCTGGGGAAGCAACATGTTTTTGACTTGCTTCATGCAAAAGAAAGAATTGCCATTCGGCCGCCGGCACAGTATTTCGTGCCCCAGAATTGGTAGGGGGTTTTAAAAGGCTATTTCCTAAATGATCACTGCTAGCCTGCCCCCTTCTGGCAATCTAGCACTTCTCAAAGTTTTTCTTCTAGCCTGCCATGAAGTATGGTCAATACGCTTATAAAAGCGCCAGCCGGAAGTTTATAGAACTCAAAGCAAAACAAAAAAAATCAGAAACGGCCTGCAACGCAAACGTGACGCTTCAAAATTACGCTTCCGTTAGCTCCTAGAGTTTGCTCGGGCTTTATACGTTTCGTGCTAACATTAATGCGCCTTTTACCATCCGCAGGACGCTTCCCCATCCTCCTAAAAAATTAATACTTATGAGAAGGCAGAGCTTACGCAATCTCTCTAGTTTTCACTAGAAAATTTGATGGCATTATCCCTTTAAACCCCCACTTTTAGGCACTGCCACTTCCGGGCGTATCCAGACGAGTACCGAGTGTTCCTCTATAACCAACACGACAAGTGGTCTCACATGCTGGCGATCAAAGATGTACTATTACGTAGGTCCATTTGTTCTATATATCAAATTTTTTAGCTACTTTACAACCCCTACAATTTCAGAAAACGGCTTCTCCGAGCAGAAGCTCTCTCATTTACTATCTGACTATGCCTTGAAGCTCGGCGACCAAGATTTTCACTACGGACAGGTAAGGAACCCGAGCTTTTGGAGGATTTATTGGCTTTTCAGTTATAAAAATTACTCGCGATTTCAAGATTGCGTCGTTTTAGAGAATGAATTTACTTTCCGGCTATTTTTTTCAATTTTCCCGTTTCTAAATTTCCAAAAATTACATTCAAGCTAAATCGGTGGCGCCGTCAAATCCTCGAACGGCGTGAACTCTATGGGCCATTCGTACGCCAGTTTTTCTACGACTACATTATCTTCCGGTTGCCGTTCCCGGAACCGAGGTTTTCGGAATAAATTTTGAAATAATAGGCAATGCAGATAAACAGAGATACCTTTAGAAAAAAACACATAAAAAATAAAAAATTGAATTGACGACAAATCTAATAGAAAAAAGCGTAAAAATTAGCAGAAAACTTTATGCATATGTGCGCAACCCGGCTTTATCACCAGTATAAATCGGAAAAGATCACAGTATAAATTACATGGGGCTCAGAAAAACAGAAACAAGCGGAAATTCAGTGAAAATCTACTCGAGAATATTACAAAACGTTCAAAAATCAGTGGCCGGCTTCACAAATCAGTAGAAAAACGGAACAAAACGGAAATGACTGAAAATCTGCGCGAAAACCAGAAACAACTACGGTATTTACAAAAAAATATTAGCTTAAGTTTAAATAATCAATAAAGGCTAGAAAATCAACGTAAGATTAAGCCAATCTCAACCCGATCCGCTGCCGCGCCGCGTCCGTCTGGTCGATGCACACGTCGACGACTTGGCCGACCTAAACAATTTTTAATTTTTAATATTTAAAATAATTATTTAAATTTAATTATTGAAAATCAATTACCTCGAAAACCTGCTGCCCGGCCTTGGATCGATGGAGAAGCCCGCTCTTCTCGGCGCCAATGTCGACAAAGACGCCGAAATCGGTCTAAAACCCAATTTTTTTTGGAAAAAATCTATTTTACCGTATTTTGAACGCGTCCGCTCAGCCGTTCGCCCACTTTCAACGAGCCAATGTTCCGGATTTGGGTCTAAAAATGCGATAAATAAAAAAAAGCTCATTTTCTACCTGAAGTAACGGGGCTGGGACCAGCTTTTCCTCGGTCAACAGTAGGTCCCGAACGACGGATTCATCTGGGGAGAGATTTAGCTGGAAAAAACGTCACTTTCAAAGGAATATTAGATATGAAGTCTTATTCAAAATGATAAAATTCTCTAAATGTTCTTATATCAGATTGTCAAGTAAAAATTCAACTGGAAATTAGAAATAAACTGTAAAAAATTAAAGATTGATGGTTCTTTTTTCCAAAAAGTGTCTTAAAATAATATAAAAATTTTTATACCTTATTTAATTGCTTGACAGCTTCCGGTTGGAGCCGCTGCTCAAGTTCAACGCCTGCTTTATCAAGGATTCTGAAAAACGGATTTCTATGCAAAGATTAATCTCTATCGATCGATATCTCTATCGATTATCTTTAAAATACCGTTTCGCATCTTCATACTGAGTGGGGTGCACAATTGTGGCGTCCAGCGGCTCGTAGGTAGCCTCAACTTTCTTGCGCTTTTTCGCCGGCTCCCCCGGATTCGGCTTGATCGGGCGGCAGGACGATCAGGAAACCGGCGCACTAAAGAGGTGTAATCACCGCATTTACTTTAATCTAATTTTACAAACTTTAAATTACCAAACCATGATTTTCAAGAAAATTCAAAATGATAAACGATATTAAACTTTAATTTCGACGTAAAAATCTGTATAAATTAATTTTTAAACATCCATACCTGTTCATACGATTTGGCTCCTAGCCCCTTGATTTTCTGCAAATCCGCTCGGCGCTTGATCGGCGCAATTTCACGCATTTTTATGATCCCAGCGGCTGTCGTCTTGTTCAGCCCGCAGACTTGTCTAAATGCTGATATTAAATTAGAAAATAGATTAAATCAAATAGCATAAAAAAACTAAATATGTTAAATTTACGCTTGAATTTAATTAATCAAAAATACTTACTGTAAAAGTTGTAGGGAGGCTGTATTGACGTTAACCCCGCGCATCGAGACGGCTTCACGCACCGTTTCCTTCAGTTTTGTTGAAAGTTTCTTCTCCGGAACTGAGTGCTAAAAAAGGTAAAATCTTATAAAAAACTGTAGTTCTAGAAAATTTGTATTGTCTTTGAAAATATAAAAATAATTAAAATGAGCTCTAAAAAAGCTTAATTTGCGCAATTCACCTTCCAAAAATTTTAAAACGAGCACTTTTATAAGAAAGTGAACTCCCAAAAAACGTAGAAAACTACCGTACCTGATACATTCCCATCCCAAGATGTTGCGGCTCGATTTTTACATACTCGCCCATCGGGTCCAAAAGTCGGCGGCCAAGCGAGACTAAACAAAATCATCAGCTTTTTCTGTTTATTAGAAAATTAAATAAATAATTAATTATTAATCAAATAATAATGAAATTAAATAAAATAACTAAATGAATAAATAAAGATAAAAATATTTACTTGCACTCCTCGTCGTCGGCGGCAAATCCGGGAATTCGGCTTCGGCCAGTGGAGTTACGCTATATTTCGAGGCGCCACTCTCGGAGACGACGCTGAAAAAAATACAAAAATATAATCGTAACTTTCAACCAAACTTTTAATTTCAAAAAGTAACAATGAAAGATAAGCTAAACATAAAGAATTACCAAAATTTCCAATCGCCCGCCCCGAATGCCTTCTCCCTGAAAAGGCGGCCGAGCTCGACTTGCGTTTCTCGTGAAGCCGTGCCATCTCCAACGGCAAAGACACAGCCTGAAAACAATTTTTTTAGTTATTTATAACGCTCTTTTTATAAAAAAACTAATAAAATTAAATATAGGAAAATCACTTACGAGACCCAGACTGTTTACACCAATTCTTCAACTGCGCAAGGCCCTCCGGGGAAAAGCGCTGCCCGCCAAAGCGCGACTCTAGGTGACCGAGAACCTAAAAATAATTATCTAGCACTACCGCCACCAGTTTATACATTTTATAAAGACGCAATTTAAATCGAAATTTTCAGTTAGAAAAGAGATGCGAAATAAAAAATTGAAAATTAAGCCCCACCTCACCCAATGGGCTCAAAAACGCCATCTTGCACGCCTTGTAACCAGGGTCGAGGGCTAAAAACAAAGATTTAATTTTTTTAAATGGAAGCCCAACCAATAATATGCAGATCGGAGAGTGGTTGCTGTGAGAAGAGCTGCCGAAGATTTCGGGCAAAGCACTCGATGGCTGCTTGTTCGGCTCTTGAGGTGAGGAATCTAAAAACGGTTTTAAAAATAACTTCAATCGCTAAGGCTAAAAAGAGTCTTTTCAAAAAAGGGCTTTTGGTTTTCGCAAAAAGAGAAGAATTCTCGTGGCAACAAAAAGAGCTAAATTCCTTTCAAACTCTTAAAAATGCCACAAAATGCGGGAACAACAAAAAATTGCTGGCTATTTAAGATCTTAATAAACTCGGTACCATCCCAGATCCCGGGTCAGGTCCACAGATTAATTTCAAGAAAGTGCAAATAGATCACAATACAGAAATTATTTGCAAGCCGAAACCGCCAGAAACTAGATCTGTCCATTTTAATAAGGTGCCAGCAACTTTTGGTTGATCCCACACTTTGTGGCATTTTTAAGAGTTTGAAAGGAATTTAGCTCTTTTTGTTGCCACGAGAATTCTTCTCTTTTTGCGAAAACCAAAAGCCCTTTTTTGAAAAGACTCTTTTTAGCCTTAGCGAGAATTTAGCCCTTTTTGCCTCAATCTGGTTCTGTTCTATTTCGCGGGGGGGAAAAAACTGTGCGGGGGGGAATTTTCTTCGTTTTGTTATAACTCTTTTACATGATGCTATTTTGAGTTGTAATTAAAACTCTAGTATATTTTTTGACGCTCTATCGAATGGCATTCAAGAAATTTTTGAAAGTTATCGAAAATGTCGAAAACTATCTTTCGACTCCACGATCCCATGTGGAAACACCGAATAAACCTTGTTTTTGATATAAATATTTTATAAAACAATATTTTTAGATGAAATTAAAACTCTTAGTATATTTTTTGATGCTCTATCGAATGACGGGTTCAAAATATCGAAAAAATGGCGAAAATGCCAAAAACTAACATTCCGGAACCAGTTTCAATAGTTTTTTTTTATTTTGCTATAACTTTTTTATATTACAATATTTTTAGCTAAAACAAAAACTCTTAGTATATTTTTGATGCTCTATCGAATAGCGTTGCAAAAATCCCGAGAAAATAGCGAAAAGATGGAAAATTCCGCGAAGCATATTTCCCCCCGTACAGTTTTTTCCCCCCGCGAAATAGAACAGAACCCTCAATCTTATTATTAAGATCGTAAAATAAGCCAAGGAATACTCATTCAGATGAACCCTTGTACGCAAAACTTCAAAAAAATTTGCCTGCGGCGCTTTGTAACGGCACTAGAAACCATGAGATTGCACGGGGGCCAATCGGCAAAAACCATGTTTCGGGTGCGGTTCGAACTCGAGAGCCAAGTCTTCCCAGTACAGCATGCTAACCACTAGGCCAACGGGGAGACTGGAGGCCTGTCTTGGGGAAGCTAGACCCGCCCGCCCGGACCCGGGACTGGGGCCGCCAAAGGGGAGGGTGGCGCCCCGTATGGCGAAGGTTTAAAGTTATAATATCTCAGAGAAGAAGCATTCTTTCGATGTAATTTCTTCGGCTCTATACCGATAGGGGGTATCACGGTCGATATAGGGGATCATTGCCGGTATAGGGGATCACCGTCGATAAAGGGGATCAATGCCGGTATAGGGGATCACTGCCGGTATAGGGGATCACTGCCGGTATAGGGGATCAAAAAAAATGGCCAAATTTCCGAATTGTCGATATAGGGGATCAAGGGCAGGATAAACATTTTTCATCGTTTATCGGCAACCCGTATTTAACGCCCTTTCACGCCCTTTCGCGCCCTCCTGTATTTAACGCCCCCTGTATTTAACGCCCTCCTGTATTTAACGCCCCTCTTCAGTCACGGCGCTTGTAAATAACGCCCTCCTGTAAATAACGCCCTCCTGTAGTTAACGCCCTCCTTAATCTTGACTTATATATTGTAATATTATAGGTTTATATTAGTTTAAAGTCAAAGCAGATGTTTAATATTCTAATCGAGGGATTAGTCCGTAAAATATTCGCAGCTGTTGCTCTTGTGTGGGCATCTTTTTTGAAGTCCAGGATTAGGCTTAGTCTTACATTAGCTTTAAGTTTGTATAGGGTTAGCTTAGACTTATCTTAGGCTTAAGCTGTTTTGGCTTACCTTAGGCTTAGTCTAAGCCTAGCTTGGGGTTGGGCAAGCTTTAGCTTAGGCTTAACGGAGGGCAAGCCTAAAATTAGTTTAAACTTGGGCTTAAGCCCGGGCTTGGCATAGATTAGGCATAGGTTAGGCTTGACTTAGTTAGCTTAAGCTTGGAGACCAGCCTAAGCCGTTAAGAGCCCCAGAAAGGATGCCCCCAACATCAATAGCTCCAAATATTTTTTATTTTTGTAGTTTTTTAGTTTCTACCAGGAATTAAGTTATGCATTATTTGATCTGATGAAGCAGCCTTGGGAATACCATGTTAACCATTAAATTTACTTTGTTGCAATATTTCAGTAATTGCCGAATTAAGTTCTGCGTTTCGCCACATCTGATAAGGATTTGAATTAATATTGCCGCAACGCGGTCATGAAATCGAATTTAGCCTCGAACTGGTTTCAGAATATTGATGCAGGATACCGTAGAAAATTTTCCGGAGGTATAACGAGAGCATCATCAGTATGTTAGGCTCCTAACTAATCCACAAGTGAATTACAAATTTTCGATAGCACAACACCGTGTGTCTACTTAGTCCATTTCGAAACTGTTTGGCAGAAGAATAGTGAAACTCGGGCCACATTTCATTGTATTTTGTGCGTCAAAAAATCTGCTACAGGATTTAGGCGTGATAAAACGGTACATCGGGGCTTCTGCAGGTCGGGGGGGGGGAGGGGTGGGCGAAGGTGCCGCTTGACCTAGCAATACGAGCTACGAGAGGCTCCGCTTAATTTACTCGGTTTTGACTTAAGTCTATATTTGACTTGGCTTTCATAATTCCTAGCTTAGGCTTCCGAGCTTAAGCCCAAGTTGCGCTTTTCTTACTATTAGCTTCATTTTGCCCTAAAAAATCAGAAGACGGGCGATGTCAAGTTTAGCTCACCCACATGCATCGGAACTTCTACTCTCCTCCCAGCCCGTGCTTGTTAATACCTTACTTTTTGTTTACTGAATAATTTGATTGAGATCCCATGACTTTTTCAGGCCTAGGCAATCAACTCGATATGCTTTATAAATCATTAAGGGCCTTTCTTTAGACTCCAAAGTCTTTAGACGTGTAGGTATGATTTTGATTTTCTTATTGGACGCAGTACGATAAAGCGTTAAGCTCCCTATCCCATACGCGAAAAAATTATGCTTGTTTTACTGACAGCCTTATTAGTGTACTCTATACAATTTCCTTACGTATTTTAACTTTAAACTTATTTAAGCTACGCTTTTAAGCCATTAAAGCACTCTATAGTAAACCTAGCTAGCAGGGCGTTAACTACAGGAGGGCGTTATTTACAGGAGGGCGTTATTTACAAGCGCCGTGACTGAAGAGGGGCGTTAAAAGGCCGTCCGCGGGTCACTCGAACAGACCCCCTTAGGGCTTGGCACAGTTTTTTGCGACCCTTTTTTTTCGACGCCATGTGAAAGAGCATGGTCGAATTAGTAGGACTGCATGGTTTTTAGATTTTTAAAAGTTCATTTTTGGGGTTTAAATGACCGTTAAAGTCGTTCACCCCAAAAAATTATCTTTGAGGTTACTTAACCAAATTTGCTGAAAATTTGTGTTCATACCTAATTTGGCACGGGGATCATTTTTCTAATACATTGCTAAGCCCGAAAATCACCGGAACATAGGAATCTCGCGTACTCAGAACAGTTTTTCAAAATTTTCTATTTTTTAGAGTGTTGCCTGTAACGTGAAAATAACATAGAAAGATGCGCAAAATTTTCTGCATCGTGTGTTGTATTTTCTAGAGTGCAGTGAACACTCTAAAAATTGCAAAAATAACAGTTTCTTCAATGTGAAAGTAGCCCTGTACGTCGACGACGCCTGCGTATTATAGAAAACAGACTTGTGCATGCCTTCTTGAGATAATTCCCGACCTAATAAAAAAAATCGGAAAAATAAATTCCTTTTCTAGGAGAAACTAACGAGTTACTGGAATCGAACTCGCGATGGCTCGCCTGGGGGCTCTGGGGACAGCCACTAGAGGACGCCGCCGCCTGCCAGGCGAACGACCCGAGTTCAATTCCAGTCCCCTCTTAGAAACCGAATTTCTTTTTGCTCTTTTTTGCATTCGCCGTGATCTAGGTCGTATATGCAAATCTATACTTTTCCCTCCACACCTCATCAAATTTTTTATTTTTGGCTGGAATCAAGGCCATTTTTGTAGTTTTTAGAGTGTTCACTGCACTCTAGAAAATACAACACTCGATGGAGAAAATTTTTGCGCATCTTTCTATGTTATTTTCACGTTACAGGCAACACTCTAAAAAATCGAAAATTTTGAAAAACTGTTCTGAGTACGCGAGATTCCTATGTTCCGGTGATTTTCGGGCTTAGCAATGTATTAGAAACATGATCCCCGCGCCAAATTAGGTATGGACACAAATTCTCAGCAAATTTGGTTAAGTAACTTCAAAGTTAATTTTTTGGGGTGAACGACTTTAACGGTCCTTTAAACCCCAAAAATGAACTTTTAAAAATCTAAAAACCATGCAGTCCTACTAATTCGACCATGCTCTTTCACATGGCGTCGAAAAGACCGGATCGAAAAAATGCTGTGCCAGCCTCTGTTCGGTTGGCTCGCAAACGACCTTTTAAATACAGGAGGGCGTTAAATACAGGGGGCGTTAAATACAGGGGGCGTTAAATACAGGAGGACGCGAAAGGGCGTGAAAGGGCGTTAAATACGGGTTGCCTCGTTTATCAAATGCCAAGTGCATTTCCGGTATTTCCTTCTGAATTGCTTGCGCTAAATCGCTAAATTGCGGTCCTAACACTACCGCAAGAGGTTACGAGACGCGCTTAAGCCACTTGTTTTTTGGATTAAGAGTTTAACTCAGCTTTTTTACTATCTTTTGCGTAAGCCTTGACTTCAATTTAAGCCCACGCTAATCTTGTCTTGACTTGCTCAAGGAGTCCAAAAGGGGCTTCTATACATGGCGTCGCGCAGAGAAGTCTAACTGGGCTCAAGCGATTAAGCTTATAAGCTTACTTTGAGGGAAGCTGCTAAGCTCCTTAGCTCAAGTTAGCTTTTCCAGTGGCTTCGTGTTTAAAAAAGCCTTTGGAACGTCTTTTCGTTAAAATGGTCAAATGGATCATAACCAAATGGATTAGCACCGCCTTGTAAACATGAAATGTCAGAAGTCACCGTGTAGTTACCGGAAATGCACTTGGCATTTGATAAACCATGAAAAATGCTTATCCTGCCCTTGATCCCCTATATCGACAATTCGAAAAATCGTGATCCCCTATATCGGCGATGATCCCCTATATCGACAATTCGGAAATTTGGCCATTTTTTGATCCCCTATACCGGCAGTGATCCCCTTTATCGACGGTGATCCCCTATACCGGCAATGATCCCCTATATCGACCGTGATACCCCCTATCGGTATAGAGCCATTTCTTCTTTACTTATTCCGGCAGGGTCTAATGCATATTTGAGCAAAATTTCAGCCCAAACGGACATCACTAACACTTGTTTTGGCCGCAATTTAGCTTTTAAACTTAAAAATTAAATATAAATTTTTTAGAAGCCTATTTTGAAAAAAACTCTTCTTGCGGTCCGAGATTATCATTCACCCAATAACTGTGCAAAATTTCAGCCCAAACGGATGGTGGGAAGGCACTTTTTGACGACTACAAAGGTTTTGCGTGCATACCCACATACAAACAAACGCAGACCCCCCCTCGAAACGCAATTTAAATCGGCTGTTAAAATTCGAAATTTCACTCTTTTTCAATTTTTAAAAGCTTATAGTATGTAAAAAGTGTCGCCGGTTCCGATGGTGTATTCAGTTTGGCGATCCGATGCATGGTTCTTTTTTAAATCCGGAAATGGACCCCAAAAGAGTCGTATGGGGGGGTACCTCAAACCAAAAGGGGTTAGCGGGCTACGCCCGCTAACCCCGATAACGTTCAAAACGACAATAAGTTTCTGTACCTAGAAATGGCGCGCTGGCATTTTGGGACGAACGATTGGTCGAGGGCGTGAGCGAATGAGGTCTAAAAAAATCGTTTTTCACATGCGAAACGTTCAAATTCAGTTCAATTTAGAAAAAATTAGAAAGCCGAAATCTAAGTTTTTACCTGATACAATTGTAGGTGGCTAGGATGAACCGGATGTCGCGCCAATGGATGCTCTCGTCCGGCATCTTTCATTTGGACTTTCCAGCTGACGATATCCCGTTCAGCACCTCTCTCTAGAGCCAGGATCTGAAAACTAAAATATTTTCGCCTTTTTTCGATCTAACCTTTCTTTTTACCGCTTTTAATTGATTTTGAAATAAGCGAATCTTCGTCTTTTACTGCTGATATCAAGAAATAAAAAACAAACCTGGCAATTCTCCACCTGGTGCGCGTTCCTCGTGAAATTGGTGTACCGCTCAAAGTGTTTTATCTAAAAAAGCCAGATCAGTGAAATCAAGAAACCATTACTTGATCATGATTCGGATCGCCTGGTTTCAGCTTTTTCGCCTTTGCCGACAGCTCACCAACGACGCTGACAAAAAGCCGGGTGTCGAGTTGCCCGATTTTTCGAACGGCGGCGACTAAAAAAGTTTTGCCATTAGCAATTCCTCAACAACTGACGTGTTTCCGGGTGTTTGTTGATGAGATCGGCGAGCAGATGCTTCAGGTGGGTTTCAACCGTTTTCAGATCGTTTAATTCTAAAAAAATTATTAAAGTTTTGTTCAAAATACCGGCTCCATTGATCAACTCGCGCACCCGGACGGCTTTTCCTTGAAAAATGGCTTGTGCTGCTTCGGCGAGTCCGAGCTCCCTGATAAAAAAGGTATTTTAGCTATTAAACTTTATTTTACCTTGCTTTTGCTGCTTTTGTCACCCGTTTCTCGGCCGCAAATTGTTGGGTAATCACCAAAATGTCCTCATTGTCGCGAGCCTGAAAAAAGGTGTTTAAAAAAGGTATACACGTATTTTAAAGCTTTGCAATATTAGAAAAAGCTAAAAATACAACTTTTTTGCTACTCTACCTGCTGTAATCCTTTCAACGCATCGACCAACTCGGGCCCCTCCACCTTTTGAGTTAGCGTATTTGCCGCTTTTACGATCTTCTGTTCGAGCACTCTAAAAATCCTTGAAAATAGGGTTTAAATCTTACTTTATATCCTTGTAACTTTCATGGGCCCGCCGGACCTCATCGGTGGTCATGTTGCCCGTTTGCGCGACCCTGTACCGCGCGACAAAGGCCACCTAAAATCATATAAAGCTTTTACGAACCCTTTGAAAACCTCGTATCCTTCATCGAACAGCTTGCACACGCGCTTCGCCTTGTCCTCGCTGATGTTGCACTAAAATAAGCTACTAGAACTTGTTTTAGGGTTTTTAGGCTAATTTCGGACCGAAAAAACCGACGGGATTCCACTCCAAAAAGTCTATCAAGCTCTACCTGCTGTGAAAGGAGTTCATCGGGTGCCCATTCGATAAATGACACATCGAGGGAGGTGTTGTGCGCCATAAACTAAAAGGAAAACATTAAGATTAAGTTTTAGGCATTAAAAAAGCTCATAGAAAACAGAAGCTTATCGAAACAGTTAAGAGAACTGTACCAAATTAAAGTATCAACATTTTCAAACCAAATTATTATTTTTTGCGCAAAAATCCTCAAAATTTGAACTTTTCACGGGCCACAGCGGCCCGGCTCCTAAGAAAATGTCCGGTAGCTTTGGAAAGCAGGGGAAGACCGCAACGCGTGCGTTAGACGCGTCGCGCAATTGCGAAAGCAGGCCTGCGCAGCTAAAAACCGGTTGCTATTCCGCGCACGCGCACGCAACGCGCGAAAAACACGCACAGTACGCCCTTTCCCTTGAACCATCTGGACCGAACCCATGGGCGGTTGTGGGGCGGGTTTTTAGCCCTCAAACACACACTGATTCGCGGGGGCGCGCAATAAAAGTGACAGCCTTTTAGGTCGCGTAATGCAACTGATTACTCGATGTTTTGTTGCAGGAAAAACTATTCAAAGTGTAACAAAATATATTGCTTTGAACATTAGTTTATTTTATAGACAATATTAATGTACAAACGTTTGCAAGGGCTCATTGTATATATGCCCAGGTCGACGCTTTAAAACGGGCGCTAAATCCTTCCTTGCTTGTACGCATAAAATCAAATAATTTGAGAAAAGCAAGGCGCATCACACGAGGGTGATCAGGATTGACAGAGGAATTCTAAATCGGTGATGAATTATGACTTTGGGGTATCCGCTCAAGATGCTCTCAGGCCACACTTCCAAGCGATACACGATCAAAAACCCTAGGGCTTCCTATGTACTCATAGGTTTAGAAAGCACAATTATGAAGCGAACATGGTTGTGCTGAGAAACTGGGAGGTTTTCAACATATAGACGAAAACAATCCAAAACTAAAGCTGCTTCTTTCTTCCTAAGGCGAACTCTTCCTGTAAGCATAGTTTTAGCGGTGCTCTTACGCTATTCGACAGCGGCTGAGAATTCTGAACAGCAGGACTATCTTGGCTCGGTTTCCACGGAGCATGCTTTGACTAATAGGAATACTTTCTTCAGTGATCGTCGAGTCCGGAAAGATATCGGCCGAATTTTGCGCGAAGCATACATAGCCAGGATTTTGGCCCAAAATTGTTTCCGTTGTTTGCACCCGTGCTGACAAGCCGAGAAGCTAGAAAACTCGACGAAATATATTTGATATTGTCTCCCAGCAGATGCTCTTTCCAAATTATTTGATTTTATACGTACAAGCAAGGAAGGATTTAGCGCCCGTTTTAAAGCGTCGACCTGGGCATATATAACAATGAGCCCTTGCAAACGTTTGTACATTAATATTGTCTATAAAATAAACTAATGTTCAAAGCAATATATTTTGTTACACTTTGAATAGTTTTTCATGCAACAAAACATCGAGTAATCAGTTGCATTACGCGACCTAAAAGGCTGTCACTTTTATTGCGCGCCCCCGCGAATCAGTGTGTTTGAGGGCTAAAAACCCGCCCGTGAACTTTTCAGATTTTCCAGCCCGGGGAAGTACACGCGAGGTAATTCGTGTCCATTGGAGCGTGATGTAGCCGGTCGCCGTTTGTTGACAAACAACGATCAAACAAAACCCACCAAATTAGCATAATCTAATGGAATTCCTTGATTTGAGACTTGATTACTTTCTCGCCTTTTTGCCGGGCCATGTGGCCGTCTATTCTACTCGCTCTCCTGATTTTTACAGCGCCAATTACGGTATTTCTGTGTGTTATTTCGATATTTTGCATATTCCAGCACGGACAAGAAGACGATGATGATCAGGGGAATGATCAGACCATCGGTTGGTTAACGTAGATGATTTCATTGATTTAAAATTGCCAATTTAGACAAGGAAATCAAGGACGCGGACTTGCCAGGTGGTAGAGAATATTTGTTTTAAATTTAATTAATTATGAGGGAACTAGATAGAATTAAGTAAAGGAAGGTAATCAATAAAAAAAAAATAACTTTTCTAGACAATTCGACTTCGACTTTTCCCCCGCCTGCCAATGCTACCGTCCCAGTAGTGGTGGAGGAAGAGCCGACACCTGAGGCTACTCCCTGGATACTGTATGGTGGAGGTGGCTTTTTACAGTAGTGATGAAGTTATTTTAATCGTTTTATTGATTAGTTTTACTAAACGCCATTAACTCAATTTCTACAGTAGCCTTCGCCGCGCTGGCGTGCATCATTGTGATGTGCGGTTGCTGTTGCTACTGTTGTCGGAACAGGAGAGGTAGGAGTTCGCGTTCTCTCTCACTCTGTCACTCTCGCTCTCATTCGCTCTCGTTCTCTCTCGCTCTCCTTCGCCCTCTCAGCTCTCACTCGCTCTTTCTCGCACTCTCTCGCTCTCTATCTCTCTCGCTCTCTCTTTCTCCCTCTCTCGCCGCCTGCAGCGAATCACCGGTTTTAAAGGAGCTATGAAGCCAGAAATAGCCCATTTTAGGGAACGACCGTGCCCGCGCCGACCTCGAGAAGGGCGGCTACAAACAGAAGCAGCAAGGAAAAGCCGGCGGCAAGCAAAAGCCAGCCCAAAAATACGCCAGACGGCCCCCTGCTCTACCACCCGCTCAGGAGGTGGTCATACTACTAGATTTTCGGAGCAACCCGACGATCGGATTCAGCCCGATGAACGCGCCTACGCCCCGGTGAACATCTCCGACGATACGGCATCAGCCCGGACCGGGCAGCTGGCCGACCCCGTTCAGCCGGTTCAGCAGCAACAGCAACAGCAATACGTCCAACGGCCCCAGCCTGTCGCCCAACCCGTGCAGCAAGTTCAAGCTGTTCAGCAGGTTGTGCCGGTGCAGCAGGTGGGGGACAAATGCTGTAAATATTAGTACTAGGCTTTTAGCAGGGGGATAAAATTGTCCTAGTAATCCTGTGCGGCCAAAGTAATAATAACAAAATAAAAACAATTTTTATATCAATTTACATAGTTTTGAAATGTAAAACGCTGCTAAAAACTGATAAAAATGACCCATTTTCAGCCAGTCATCCAGCCCGTCTACCAGCCCGTCGTGCAACCCGTCGTGCAGCCAGTCGTCGCGCCGTGCCCCGTCCCCTACTACGTGCCCCCGCCGATCGTCGACCTGTGCTACAGCCCGTGCTACGACTATGGGTAGGCTTAGGCTTTCTAGCCCCTTTAACAGTGTTTTCCTAGCCCCTTCCGGTCTTTTGCATTATCGGGGGGAGGGGGGATGGATGAAACCCAATTTTTTTTCTACAGATCGAATTTTTATGCGGTATTTCACTTTTCGAACTCTCTCATGCCAATGCCTCGCATTTCAGGTACGACTACGGGTACTCGGGCTGCTACGACTGCGGCTACGACTGCAACTGCTGCGAATACACCTACGACTATGACGGTTACTGGTGATTGCTGTGTTCTGATTGCTCTGCGTGTGTTCGCCATTTCCCCTCCCCTCTGTCCCAGTTGAAATGTGAGCCTGCGAATGGCAAAAATAAAGTTCTGGATCCGTTTTCGCGCCCTGCCCCCCAGACGATGTGATATGCGATGGAATAAAGAGTTTTTCACGCGAGAATTTGTTGCTTGCGAATGCGAATTAGAATTGGGATGCGTGAAGAAAGCCAGAAGGGAAGGAGACAGGCACGCAACAAGACGACGAATGATGAGAATTGCGCCGTAATTTGTTGTGTTTTGTATTTTCTCGAAAGCGTGGCATGTGCGGCGCTTATTTCAGTCGAACAAGTTAGTGACGCATCGCATGGAGATGATGGATATTTTGACACTTCGCTCTTTATCTCTCGCCCTACTTGGTTCTCTCTCTCATTCTCTCTCTCGTTCTCTCTCTCTCTCTCTCTCCCACCTCGTCGATAATCATGGTAAATGATGAGCCCGCTCGATTTCGCGCCGTTTCGATGCCCTGAAAATAAATAGGTCTCACCGATTCACACCAGATGACGAATAGCCCATAACAAAAGAAGCTAGTCAATATTTTGCATTACTCGACCGGGTGGGAAACTGTCGAAAACTTCGTTATTCAAGGGGAGAAAGCGAGGGCATGGGGGCAATGTTGTGTCTTCGGCAGGGCAGATGACTAACATGGCAACCACCAGAAGTCGAGGGCTCCAATTTTTCGCGGGTGGCACCGTTGTCTCCCTGTCATTTTGCTACCGACAATCTATCTATTGTCATGTCAGGTAAGCTAAAGAGTTTGACCAAATTTTTGCATCGTTGCTAGCTTGACAACAGCTACCTAATTTTCGAAATTTAATGAAAACCGAGATGGAGCTCGAGAAGTTTCGCGAAAAACCGTGTTGAAGTCAACACAACATCATTAAGGTTAAATCTGTGCCTTTGTTTGGCAAACTTCGAAGCTTTGCCAAACTTCTTGAACCTGCAGCTAGGCGTCCATCGATTTCTCGATCCTAGGAGCGTAGTCGAAGTAGAGCGGCAGAAACGAGATCCTTTCAAAACCTTTCAAAATCCGCGCGCCTGAAGACAGGTAGAAAATTTGCACCGGACCTTATTAGTCAACCTGACATTCACCGAACTTCAGAGATGACAACCACTCCCGGTATCACGCCATCTACAACGACGACGACTACAACGGTACGCAACGCCCTATTGGCATAAAAGCGCTAAAATTTAGACAGTAACTGATGATCCTCTGAGTTCTACGACTACGACATTTTCACCGAGTCCAACCACTGTGGTGGGCAATAAGGGTTGAAGGGCTAGACGGAGGCAGAGAGACAGAGAGCGATAGAGAGACAGGGAGAGAGAGAGAGAGAAGGATGGCAGAATCTGAAGCAATATGGTAATTTTTCAGACGACTACCATCGTGACAACCACCATCACAACTGGTGAGCCTACCGCTGCACCAGATATCCACCAAGTAATCACAACTAGTTACATTTTGAATTTCTCATCAAAAAAATTTCAGGGAACATCCTGGGGCTGGATCGTCTTCGGGGTGTTGCTCTTAATCATTGCTCTAGCGGCCGTGGCTGCTGTTTTGTGGTAGGCTGAGTTTTGCAATGAGAGAAAGAGAGAGCGAGAGAGAGAGAGAGAGAGCTAGAGAGAGAAAGAAAGAGAGCAGGAAATTGTTTTTCCCAGGATTAACAAATTCTTTTAGGCGCCGCTACTACATGAAAAATAACAAGAAAACTTATACTCCTAATGCTGGCGAAGACAATGCTGCGTTTCGAAGGGAGAGCGCAACTCCAAAGTGAGCGTGAAGCCATTTTTCGGCTTAACAATTTTCTGATTTTGAAATTTAACAATCCTGAATTTGTTTAGCGCACAGACGTGGAAAATACCGTACAAAAAAGCGGATATGTTTTTTTCAGGGTCAACTACTCGGTCGCGGACGACGAGGTGAAGGCGTTTACGACCAGTGAATTGCGAGTGGACATGTTTCAGCCGGTATTTTTTGCTCTGCAAAAAAGTTAGCAAATTTTTTTAGCAAGACACCTTCGAGAACGGCTACAATGGGGCGTCGGACCACCATAACCCTACCAACTCCTACGAAGCCACATCACACCTTTGAACCGAATAAACGGATTTTTCTGATCTGGCATCTGAACAAAGCAGGAAGGAGAAAAACTAGAGAGAAAGAAAGAGAGAGAGAGCGTCAGCGAGTGAGAGAGAGCGTCAGAGAGTGAGAGAGAGAGAGCGTCAGAGCGAGAGAGAGAGAGCAGAGAGCAGCACATTGGTACCTCGGGTAATACGGTCCCAGTTTTTGCACATCAACCTTCCGTAGCAAACCCGGATGATTTGCCAAAATCTTCCGAAAGTTTCCCAAGTTAAATAAATCCTCCCTTCAGCTTATAACACCCTAACTGTCGTTTATGGTGGGTGTCATGGAGGGCGGGGAAGGCTCGAAGCCGAGGCGGGCGCGCCAAATAGAAAGACAAACACAGATTAGCCCTGTAACCCCAGGGCACACAACCACATACAAGGCGTTCCAAGCGGGTCCCCCGGCCAATGGTTCGGCTGGAAAAATTGTACATAGCGGTTTTCCGTGCCACTATTAGACGCTCCCGGTCCTTCACCCTGTATATCTCTCTTTCTCTCAAGCTCTCTCTCTCTCTCTCTCTCTCTCTCTTTCTATATCTTTCTTTCTATATATGTCTATCGCTCTCTCCCCTTCCCTCGCTACATTAAATTACACTACAAATTCAGATCCAAGCCCTCCTCACAACCAGCTTCCAAGTTGAAGCCCTTTCCCCAAACAAGGGCTTATCAATGCGCTGGCCCTCAAGTGCTTCCTATGGGTGATACGGGAGTGGTTGGATCTTTCTGGGACTCACAAACAATCAATACATCTGCTCGCATCAGCTTGTCCATACCTAAATTAACTTCAATTGTTTTTTCTTGAAGCCCCTTTACCGGAAGCCAGCAAAGAGCGTTTGGATTCCCCCATTTTCGCTGCGATACTCCTATACTCCAAGAAAATGGCTTCCAAGCCTAGCCTGCCTGTTGCACAGCTCGCCCGATTCTTGCCAATCCGTACACCGGCTGACTCAGCGCGTCGGCAAGCCGTCCGTGATTCCGCCGTGGCGGCCCCGGGATGAGTGTCCATAGGTTCGCCCCGGTGGTGCCGTCCCGGAAATGTGCGTAATTTGGCGTGGTTTGTACTGATTTCGCGGTTCACTACGGTTTTTGATAAGGCTTTTGCTAATTTTTACAAACTTTAAGTGCTTTTTTGCTAACCTCCGCTTGTTATGTTTTCCAGATCAAAGCTGGTTGTCATGTTCAAAATCGCGATCAAACTGGTCTTCTTTGGCTTCCGGTGGTTTCCTTACTCGTTCCACACACATGGCCCTGGCCCACCGATTTCCAGGCCAGCGCAAATCAACAGTCAAACACCACGCGCGGGTTTTTCCGCTTCTTCTCTTTACGACCCGAATGATCTCGGAGTTCTAAGGATCTAAAAATTGCGATGAACTCTCTCTCATTCACTCTGTTCAGAACTTTTTATCATCAAGAAAATTAAGTTAGACCCGCAGCAGACTATGGGCCTTAAAAACTTCATTTTCCGTACAACTTTGGTGTCCTAAAATTCATCTTATGATGGTGCTTGCTTTAAAAAAAATCTGAAAAAGCCACGTTTTGCACGTTAAAACAACACGATTGGCAACCTCGTTTCCTGTATTCCATCAAGCTCTGCCCCCATTCCCAGAAACCCTTTTTCGGCAACCTCACTCCCCCGATGCCATGACCATAATCGACGCCGAGCGGCCCGGGGCTTAGATCATGCCCCGAATCTGAGCCTAATGTTTGCTCATGGTGGTGTCAACGCCTTGAATAGAGGGTGGTTGCCCATTCCATTGGGTACGCATACATACAAATAACAACCTCTTTGGCCTCCACTTGGCAACAATCACCATCTCTCTCTCTCCACCTCTCGCCCTCTGACCCACACCCAGACTGTCCAACACCTCTTGACATTTTTGAAAACGGAACGGCCGGAGCGGGTTGGATATTGGGTAATCGATCCGGGTTGAGTTATTATTGCCTTGGATATCTCGGTGCCTACCTGCTTACTTTTATTTTTGAATCCCTGGTTTTACCTTTCGTTGAGCAAATCCTTATCGTTTTAGCGGATCGCGTATTACTCCTATTTATTTTTTACAGACCTCGACTTGTCCATTTTGCCTTTGAAAAGAAGTCGAACGTCCGGTTAAAATGCTGCAAATTTTCCATCATGGATTCTTTCCAAAAAAGCCGTGCTGAAATTTCCAAAATTCTTGGGTTGTCAGATGTTCTAGCTGCGGTTTTCGTCGTGAAATGGTCGGGATTTTCGTTTTTACAAAAAAGCTATTAATTTTCTTAATGGCCTGTAAGGTCCGAAAACTAGGCTCATGATTTCGACTAATTGGATAAGAGAAAGCATTTATTCAAAAACCCCCGCTCAATGCAAATGTAGCTTACTAGACTTCTTCCGGTCTGGATAGTGCTACATTTGATATATTCGAGCGTATGTAACTGCTATATTCACATCGATTTCTGGCTCGCGTACATAAAACTCATCTATGCCAGATTCCTAATCTTTCCAAACCAAACTTTCCAATCCTCACCTCCACCTCCCCGGTATTTACCTTCAAGCGATCGGCTCCTCCCCGCAAAGGCTGCGGGGTTTGTGGTAATCTCCTCGGGGGTGGGCAGCATGAGTCATTATTCTGCAGTCGTCTCTCTCTCTCTCTCTCTCTCTCTCTCACCAACCATCGCCTTCTAAAGATAAGGCCAAGCCCGAAGATGCCAAGCTCGCCCCGGCCCAAACACACCCCCTGTTGTAGTCGTCCCCAGCTTTTGAGTCACCCCCTGCCTCCAACGGCCAAATCGATCTCCGCTATTCATCTGAATATTCAGCGTGGGCTGTGACTGTAGGCTTGGTTTTTGGGCCTACGTTTTTGGCATCATCGCTTTTGACTAAAATCCATGCCATTTTTTAAAAGGACATTGAAGGCAAAGCTCCGCTTTACGGGAATTCCCCGATACTTTTCCAAAGCTACGGGACTATTTTAAATAGATAGTTGAATCACGACTAACCAGGAGTGTGAGTAACGTACGTTACTGAAAGCGTAGTGTAGATGATCTTGCTTGGGTAGCACGCCTGTCTCATCTTTTTGAGCCGAAAAGCGATCTCTTCGTATGCAGTCTACCACTTAGCTACCGTAAGGTAATGAAGTATCTTCTTTCTGCTTCAATCTTCGAATTGTGTGTCATCTTAGATTTATCTTCGAAATGGCATCTTAGAATTAACTTAATTAACTCCTAGAACGCATACAAAATTGTATGGTTTTGAAAACGCCATCGGATAGAAAGTCGAAAAAGATATTTATAATAAGTATTTTTTTTTTAACTTCAAAAATTATCGACTTTTCGAATCTCCTGTCTTCTAAACGCCTTTTTCGACCTTCTTCTCCCCTGAATATTCATCATCCGCCCAAATGGCGGTCCGTTTTTGTAGCGCATGGCCCGGACCTGGCCCACCCTAGCGGATGCTTTTTCCCAGCGGCCCGCACCGGAATCGATGCCGTTTATGGATTCTAGAGAGAGTTCTTGCTAGCAGGGCCGTTTCCTTGTGCTAACATGACTTCTGTACGATTTAGGGCCATGAAAAATTTATACAACTTTTCGATTTGGTCTATGCTGTGGCAAACATCTTGTTGAACTTGTTGAAAAAGTTGTTTTCGTGAAAACTGTTTTTTTTCTTTGGAGTGTTGTTCCATTCTTGGCTAACAATGAGTTTAATGTTTCGCTAATCTTTTAAATGTTTTTTTGCGAAACTATGCCTTCCTAAACATCAATTTTCCAGATTTTACTCTGCTCCGGCCAGAACTTTACGGAACCAAATCAGGGGCAAGATGGTGCTGAGGTTATTCCTGCCGCTGGCAGTGGTAATGCTAGCCGTTCATGCTCAATATAACAACAACAGGTAAGTGAGCTTCATTTACGATGCCAAAATTGGATTGCAATACCACTAAAAGCCCCCATGTTCCAGAAGTCCCTACCTGCAGCAGCCCGGTCAATCGCAGTACGGTTACCCTGGCCAGAACCAGAATCCGAATCAGCAGAACCAGTTTCAAAATCGGGGCCAAATGCCGCAACAACAAAATCCGCAGCAGCAGAATCAACAACAGCTGCGGTGAGTTCAAAAATTAGTTGAAAAAGCTGTAGATTTACCTCGTGTATTCAATTAAACCATCTTTTTTAGAGCTTGGTAGAACTGGACATCTTCTTTTTCAGAAATATTGATACCTTTGGACTCTATTAAACCTCTACATTTTAGCATGCAAGGCCAGAACTTCCAACAGCAAAACCAATTCGGCCAGCAGAACACCAATCAGCAACAATTTGGACAACAACAACAGCAAAACCAACAGTTCAACAACGGTCAGATGAACACGCAGAACTCGCGGTCGGCCGTCAGCACGAACCCGATCAGGATGGTAATAATTAATGGTATTAACACAATAACCTTCATAGAAATTATCTAAGAAATTATCTAAAATAACCAGGCCTACTTAAAAACCTGTATTCAGACGAACGCGACCGACATGGGCGCCACCGTGACGCTGCAGCTGAGGTCCTACTCGAACCCGCAGAACTCGCTGGACGCCGACACAACCTGTGCTTGCCCGGTGGCCAACTGCGACTTTTTGCGTGCGAATGAGCAGAACAACTGCCAGTTTTCGTTTATGGTCGTCATCTCGTCGGCTGAGTGAGTTGAATTTTGGAATTAAAAGCTCGGGGGGAAAAAGGAGAAACCGCTTTTTAAGCTTCAATAGTCAAGCCAATTTTTAATGTGAAAACAAAATCTATATTTCGCGAGAGTCAATCGATAATTCGTTAAGTTAGAAACCCATCGCCATGGTTTTTCGAATCCGCGACTAACCTTTAGACAAATTGGCATTTTGCCGAATGTTTAGAAAGCTTGCAAGTGGCTTCAAAAACTCGACCCATTACGTTTACGTACGTGTTTTACGACCCATTAGGATTGCACTGATTGGAGGGAACCTGGGCACCAGATGTTTTGAT